TTAGTTACCATGTGTTTATTGTGCCAATGGGAATTGTAATTTACCAAAGAGAAATACATAATTTGCTTGGTCTTAAAGAAAAGGAAAACCCTCTTGCAAATAAAAAAAACTTCCCAAATTACTAGTACTTTGGGCTGTTTTTCATGAATTTTAAGACTCACCCCTGTGTGGGAAAAGATCCTGGGTGCTTTGGTAGAAACCCATTACCAGAGGTAATCTTAGGTACAGCAGGTGGTGCAGCACGGTGTCCTCCTTCTCAAGTCCCACTCAGGTAGGAGACTGGTCCTCTGGGCTTCAGAAGCCCTTTTCTCCGCTGACAACGAAGTTTGCTGATTTAATGCAATGTGAATCCTATTTGAATCACCAGGAAACCGGACAGACATCTGTATTACCCTGATTGGAATTAAAACATCACCTTAACTTTAGTTTTCAAAACTCTCTGGAACTAATTTCTTTCTTTGGAGCTTAAAAATGCATTTTTTCACATGAGCTCATTTTCTTTCATGTTGTAGGATACTTAATAGTTTCAAGACAAGGGGATAAGAGAAGGCATTGAGTTTCAGTGTCTGGGTTTTAAAATGGGATGGTTTGTAATCCATTTCATCATTTTAAAAGTCTTGAAAACACTTCAGATGAGTAAAGTATTTGGAAAGGCTGGGACCAAGTGTTCAGTTATAGCAAACTTAGCTTGCTTCTGGTCTTTAATCTGATTTTAAAAATCAAACCCTTATCTTTGAACTGTTATTCAAGGAATTCTCATTCACATTGTCACTTTAAATTATAATGATACTTTATTTTAAATAGTCACGAGATCTGACACTTCAAAAAAAAGATACCACTAATAAATAACAAAAGTGAAAATACTTATCAAAGTCACAACAGACGTAAAGTTCAGCTGAGAATCACTGCAACAGAGTAAGGCTCTAAAGATACCAGACAAACCAATACTTAGCTGGAATAAGGTGTACAACTTTCTCACTGTATGGGCTTACAGACGAGGCCCTGGTTCCACGTGGTCGAGGTTGCAGTCATAAAACCGGTTTTAGCACAATAGTGCTTCAGACTAAAGTTTTCAGTAGTTGTGATAGTCTGTACAAGATGTTACGAACTGACCCCTGCAAAAAAGTGTAACTTGAAGACTTCTTTCAGACATTACCAGTGTCTGATAAATGTACATTCCTAACATTCCTGAAGACAGAAGAGAATTAAATTTAATAGGTGCTGGTATTCACATCTGATCTCTCAGGTTTTATGACTGGTAAGTCTCAATGCTCCTAGTCTCCAGGGTGTGTACAAGGTGGCAGTATTTTAAGCTTGTTAAGTAGAATATGGGGAAATTAGGATCAAAGGGGCATCCATTTCTTGACTATAGCGCCATTAACCCTCATAACTTTATATGGAATGGTTACGCCATCAAAACTAAACCAACAGTTTTTATATTAAAATGCTTCTCCATACTAGTAACACTTTATTTAAAGTCACTAAAAACTACCTTGTAGAGGTAACACACAGAAACGGACAAACAATAAAAAATAAGAAAAAAGCTAATCACCTAAATGGATCCATGTCCATCCTTTATGTGTCTACTTCATAATCCACCCACCCACCCCATTCCAAAAAAGCTTCAGGTTATTACGTCCCAAAGTCATCTATTCCTGAATTACTTCCAAAGAAACAAACTGCCCTGTAGTGTATAAGCTACTTAAGGTCTGCACATTCTAGGATGCTGCACTTCTGTTGTCCTAGCCATCAAATCTGGAAATCTGCTCAAGTTCAGACTCCTTTTAAAACCTTCAGAAATAAACATAATTAGAATTTGCAATCCCTAGATTCAAACAAAGTACAGGTTTAAATAGCCTAATATGTAACACCTCCCTTTCTTGGATTAAATACAAGCCACAGAATTCTTAGCAGCTAAAAACTAAATCTGAATTATTCGTGTCTGGCATTGTGTAAACATATTTTTAAGTTCATTTTGCTGGACTTCATTAACTACTTCAGGCTCTGCAGGGCTCTTCTGAACCTTGGCCACTGCATAGTTTATCCCCTGGGTTAATCCAGCTTGGGTAATATTAGCAACCTGGACCATGGAACTTCGAATCTTTGCAAAGGGAGAGACTGCTCTGCTGCTACAGCTCTCTGAAGGAGAAGGAGTTACATGCGGCCCTCTCTCAAGTTCAAGTATGCTGGGTTCAGAGCCGGGGGTCTTTTGAGATACCAATGAATGCATGGGTTCAACTGATAAGAACTGTGGGCCTGTTGCAGAAAAAGACACATCTAATTGAGATGGTCGAGAAGGTATCTGTTCTGTTGATTCAGACTGAGTTTCTTCATTAGAAACTTGATTGGTCATTTGATTTCCTTCCTCGCTAGCCTGCTGAGGAGCAGGCCTAGTTTCTGTTAGCTGGGTCATTTTGTTTTGTGCATCTTGTACAAATCTGTGGCAGTAAATATCCACAGGCTTGGCAAAGCCAGTCAGTGTGTGTATGCTGTCAGCAGAAGGACTTTTCTTCAAAGGAGACTCACGGCCTTTTCCAAGCCCACTTCCATGAGCAACAGTAACCTCTGAAGGAACATGAATACTAATATCAGTGCTGCTAACAGACTGGGATCTGCTGCCTAGTCGAGGTGCTGAAGCAATAATACCACAACTAGGAAGGACGTAGTCTCCT